AATTCACTGATGCGCACAGCACCCCCATTATCTAATCACATTTCAAAAGCCCCATCTCTGACACATGAGGCTTTTATGGCACCTCCCCAGATCTAAGCCGTGACGTTCTGCTCTGGCTCTCAAAAGACTCATGTTCATCTCTTTCACACAAATTGCCTTTAGTCCATCTCTAAGTGTTTCCACCTTCATAACAGTCCCAGTACTGATGAGAAGTCCAAGTCCGAAGGCTCCTCTGAGACTCAAGAGAAACTCTGATCAGTGAGGTTCTATAAAACTAAAAAAGAAAATTAATTATTTGCAAAATATTCAAAAATTGAGAAATAGGTGATAAAGAAGAAGAAGATGAAAGGAGGACTTCTACCCTGCAGGGAAAGCATTAAATTCTGCATTTCCATGTCCAGATCTAAGGCAGCTTGTGACGAGATGTCAGCTCCAATGGGATTAGGTGTTTTCGCCTTTATGGCATTACCAGGTGCAGTCCTCACGGTCTCTCTGCTTGGCTCTGCTCCTTGCCTGAGGCTTTTTACAGCAGACATTCCATCTCCCTGGCACCTCTAAATTTCTAGGATCTCCCCATCACTTCCAACTTCACTCTCACAGATCCACACACTGCCCTCTCAGGGACACAGGGCCTGTGCTCACAAGTCTTCGTTTGAAATCCGGTAGCAGCTTCCCTGATCTTACAACACTTGCATTCTGTGTGCCCATAAGTGCCAACACCACGTGGATGATGCCAATGTCTGTCTCCAACTTGAGTGGTAGATGGGACCCTTATATCATTGCTGCAAAGGCCTGTGAGGGTCTACATAGCAGACTGCTGCGAAACAAATCCCATAGGAACCAGTTCCCTAAGCAGTCCTTCCAGAACTGGGTGCTCTGGGGCTCTTTTCTCAAAGTAAAGTCTTTCAAAGAAATTTTCCTCTAGCCTTTTGTACCTTTGAGCCAGTGAAGTGTGGAGTCTTGCTGATTCCCAAGACACTTTCAAGGCATCTTCCCTACTGTCTTGATGCAAAGCACCTGGCTTTTAAAAGATCTTTTCAGCAACTATGCTTTCCTCGGCTCCAACTTTGCAAGCACTTCCTTTCTGGTAAAAACACAGTGGTTTTGTTTTTAATTTTTGGTGTTGAAAGCATGCCACATTCTGAAAGTTAGATTGCCTTGAAATTTTCTTCATCAGATAAATTAGTCCTATGCACTAAACCTCAGTCTCCCACAAAATCTTAGAACATGGGTAAAATGTAGACAAATTTTCTGCTTCAGCATAACAGTTGGCCCGGAGTCCAGCTGCTGATTGAATTATTGTTCCCAGCTGAAACCTCCTGAGTCTGGCCTTTACTGTCTGCATTTCAATCAGCACTCACATCTTGTGAGCTCTGACCAGAATCTCCCATCAAGTGTGGCTTATAACATTTTAGATCTTCCCTAGATGATATCTCTAAACCTTTCTAAATGACTCCTATGAATCAGTTCCAAAGACTTCTGATCCACACAATCAGGTATGTTCATAGAAATGACTCCACTTCTCTGATATCAAAATCTGTCTTGGTCACTTCTTGTCACTGGGCCAAAATACCTGACTTCCACAACTTTAAAGTGGGAAGGTTTGGCTCACATTTATATTTCAAACAGTACAGGAGGAGGGCCTGGTAGAGGCAAGCTGCTCTTGTCATGGTGATCAGAAAGCAAAGGGAAAATGCAGAAGTCAAGGGAGAGGATCTACCCTTCTGGGTCATGTCCCCATTGACCTGGCTCTTCTTACTAGGTCTCACTTCCTAATAAGACATTGAGCTACAGAATTCATCAGTGGATGAGTCCACTGAAATATCTGCACACATCCATGACCTGATCACCTTCCAAAATTCCGCCGCTGAATACGTGAGGCTTCGAGGGGACACCCAAGATCTAAACCATAACAGGGTTAGATAGGAGTAAGTTTCCTATGTCTCACTGAAATCATTTCCACAAATCCTAAGTTTATATAAAATATTATTTTATTTTTTTGTTAGTACATGTGTGCAGTACATAATGATTACATTTCTTGTGGGAAACTGGCACACGTGCATAACACATCTTAATTATTTTTCATACCCTTCTTTCTTCTTGCCACCTCCTCCTGTTTCTTGGTTGCCTTCCATTTGCAAAAGATCTAGCCACCTGCTTCCTATTATCTATATTTTAGTGTATTTTATATTTATATTTTGGGTTTCTCATACGAATGAAAGTGTGCAATATTTAAGCTTTTATGTCTAATTCATTTCACTTATGGAAGCTGGTTCTATAAGTAACAGCCTGTTAACTATATCCCCTGGAATGCTGGAAACCTGAATGAAGAGGGAATATATTTCAGAAGAGATGTAAGTGAGCATTACTCATTTGGAAAATCATTTGACTATTCCTTCAAATGTGCTAAAGCTGTAGCAGAAGTTTTCAGATCTAGTGTGATGTTTAGGAATATGAATACTGAAGCCCATGCCTGGCTGTCTTTTGTGAAGTGTGACTTTGAGAAAGCTGCTTAGATTCTTTCTGATTCCATTTTTAAAATTATAAAATTAGAGTAATAATGGAATTCACTTCACAAATCACAAAGATAAACAAACATATATATATATATATATAATATTATTATTGATTTCAATCCAGCCACCACTGTTGCCTTAAAACTAATGGCACCGATTCCATGAAAAATGCCCATAAGTTTTAGCTATCTAATTTGTCATGAGCAGATCTTGGGAGGAGGCTTTATTTAACCTGCCAGAACCAAAGCAACCGTTTAAGTCATGTGGTTGTGTCCATGTAGTTGTGTTTTACCTGTGGGCTCTTTGAGCTCGTACTGCTAAGATGTCATAGCTGTTAGGTGAATCGAGATCAAGACATGACGAAGGCAGCGTCACTGACTTATGCTCAGCAGCATATGGATGCAGAGTGTTTTTATACTTGGTCTTCATCTGATTGCATTTTTTATTTTTTATTTTTTTATTTTTTTGGTACCAGAGATTGAACTGAGGACCTTATGCTTGCGAGGCAGACAGTGGCACCACTGAGCTAAAGCCCTGGCCCATCTGGTTGTTTTTCTTACTTGATCTCCCTGATATCTACAGGCACTTTGGTATTTTTCCTAAGGTTCAGTGGTTATTTTGGAATCAAGCTTGGTCTTGGTCTACTGATCAGCGTCTTGTTGAATGACCGTTGATTTCCACATGACAGAATTTGGTAAGAATGCTAGATTAGGACTTATGAGATCTAGGTTCCACTTGAGCTGCTTCAGCAGGTGACTCTGTAAGCATGGCTAAGTTGCTAACCATCTGTCACAGTTAAGAACCTCTTCTGGTAAAAAGTCTGCCCTACGTTATTCACAAAATATTTTTTCATCTACAGAAATATGGTATGCCTGGGGAATTTATTTCTTAGCCCAATGTTAGGGATGGATGACAAGTTAGAAAGAGCACAGACAGAGGCCTCAAGTACAAATGGGTTTAGCATAACCATAGATGAGCTGGGAGTGGTGGCACACACCTGTAATCCCAGCACTCCGGAGGCTGAGGCAGGAGGATCTCTGTGAGTTCGAGACCAGCCTGGACTACAAAGTGAGTTCCAGGTCGGTCTCAACTACATAGTGAGAGCCTCTCTCAAAAAAAAAAAAAAAAAAAAAAAAAAAAAAAAAAAAAAAAAAAAAAGAAATAACCACAGACCAAGTTATTTAATATTATAGCATCAGTTTCCTCATTTGCTCAGGTAAAATAGACTTTAAAATGTTGTTGTAAGATGATTTGTATTCATTTCCTACTATATAATATGGTGCCACAACTAAATATCTTCAAGATGTCTACTGTTTCACTGAGGATATTAAGAAAGACCTTATAATAGAATTAACAGAGCACTGAAGCTTGTGACTGTCCTCTTTAACCACTTACCAGTCTAATTATTTAGACACAGGATGCCCAAAACTTACACCTTTTTCTTAATTTTTATAAGATAAAATAACAGGAAATATAAAATGACAACTTTAACAAATTGATTCAATACAATAATCGATTGGTTCAAATGATACTTGACAGTGAAGCTTGGGACAGCCAATGTGTTAAACAAAAAATGCTGGGGGCCGGGGATTTAGCTCAGCTGTTCGGTGGCCTGCCTTTCAAGGGCAAGGACCCGAGTTCGATCCCCGGTACCAAAAAATAAAAAAAAAAATGCTGTCCGAGTGACACTTCGGGTAAGCTGTTATGGTTAAAATACAAATCAGGACACAGGAGATGATTTTTTCATATTTATGAATTTATTTATAGGAAAAATCATAGGAGTGCATTAACATTAGATTCCATCATGCATTAATAAAGGTCTCTTAGTCAAAATATGGAAGGATGTATGATATTGGAAAAGGGTGAGATTACAAACTTTTACCCTGTGCTTTACTGATAGCTGTGGCTTCCTCTGCCCATTCTGTTAGCCCTGTTAACTGCTCCTAAAATGGTTCTACCAAGAGTCAATGGCACCACATAAAAAGTTGCAGTGAATCGCTGAAACACAGTAAAATGTGTTATTGCAGCAAGCTGGAAGCTCTAGGTAGCTGCTACTATAAATCCCATCAAAGTTTGTCTCATAAAATCTCCACAGTTTAGTTTCCCCATCTTTACTCTCCATTTTCAATCTTATTTCTTCTTTTTAAAGGTCAATTTGATTGAGGTAAACCTTATCTACAGTAAAATTGCTCCTTTTTTAGTGTATACAGTTTAATGAGTTTTTCATAAATATTATATAACAACCACAATCATGGCTGAAAATATTTCCATCATTTCCCCCAAATCCCTCTTATCTCTGAAGATACTTTTCTCTCTTCCCTTATAAATTATGGTATTGTAAGTCAGCTAGCACCTGTACAGGCTTTTTATTTCTTTGATTTTTCTGGAGTACTGGAGACTGAACCCAGGGCCTTCGCACTGAGCTACCTCCCCAGCCATTGTTTAGTTTTCTATTTTAAGACAAGGTTTCTCTTAAATCTCTAGGTGACAGGCTGAACGAGAACTTGAGATCCTTTGTCTCGGCCTCCCAGAATGCTGGAATTACAGCCATGTGACACCGTACTTAGTCGGTAAAGGTTTTAGCATGAAGGTAAGTTTGAATTTTCCTTACTTGGGATGAGAAATTGCTGCTTGGTCATATGCTATGACTATATTTAGTTTTATAAGGTAATGACAAACTGTTCTAATACAGTTTAACCATTCTACATTCACACCAGGGATTTCTGCGTGTGCCACTGCCAGGTCTCTTATATGTAGCCATTCTAGTCGGTATGTAGTTATATATAATTATAATTTTGACTTACATCTCCTTAATGAGATAATTCTCTGTATGCCTAGAACTGTGCCCGACACTAGTTTCTTTTGTAATACTTTGACAGTGTGATGTTGAGTCAATCTAATCAGTAATACAGTTAGACTGTTTTCTATAGTCACCGTCATTGTCCACATACACCTAAAGGGACTGCGACCTTCCTTCAGGGATGTGTCTCTACTTTGGACATCCTGTGGTGCTTGAGGTGGGGATGCAACTCTTTTCTCCATGTTCCCATTCTCTCCCCAGCTTTCAGTAATTTTTGTACACCTGCCCAAGAGAGTAGCCTCTGCCCGGACTCTTGTATTCCTTCCGTGCTAGCCGCTGTTTCCCGTCACTCAGTGATAGGCTTAAGTTATTGGCCTGGTAGATCTCTGCTCTCCAACTCCAGCCGTCCTCTCAGATGGTGTGCTCAGGAGTCTTGAGGCTGGGGGTTTCACAGTGTTTCTGTTCCTCCTCCTCCGGGTGGCAGTCCATTACAGTCTTGTATATTGTAGCTCTATTATTAGATAGAACTCATCTTAGTGTCCAGAGAGTTCCCTCCAGTGTAGCTGTTCTCCGGGGCCTCGGGGAATTTCCTACTCTAGCCCAAATGCAGATAGGATTTGTGTTTACTTCTCCAGAAGCACTGTGAGTTTTGTCTTGTTCTAGGAGCAGTAGGGAGTTCTCCCCTTCCTCCTGTGGCAGATGGCTTGTGTTGGGAATGAGAAAAGATGTCCAGGGATTTAGGCAATTTTTCTTCTTGTCTTGCTGTGACAACAGATTACCACCCACACGCTTGAAGCTCCCCAAAAGGGCACTGTGCTAGGTTTCAGTGTCTTCAGTGTTTCTTGTAAACATGTTGATAGAAGCTAAGAACAGAGCTTCTGAGTGAATGTAGACAACCTCTTATTCTGTGTTTTTCCATGGATTTTAAATTAATCACTAGTCTATAATAGATCTTTAAGAATCCATTAAATTTTCAGTTATTTTCTTTTCACACACTTTTAAAAGATAATATGTATGTGTTTGTGATAGCTAATAAACGCACTCGTCCCATCATGGGGAATGGGTACATATTCACATTGCCCCTTGATCCTTTTTACTTCTCTTTCCTTTCTACCTCCTATATTTATCCATCCCCAGATAACTTTCGCATCTCCCAAAAGCTTATACCTGATTTTTGTCAGCTACCTCTTCCTGTCTTATTTTCCCAAAGTTTAAAACCCCAAAGTTGATGTGTTTACTCTCCCTTCAAAAATGTTTGCCAGTTTGGAGGGCATAATTCACTTGGTTGCTTTGTTACTATCGCAATCGGAGTAACTAAGAAATAGTTACGGTTTTGTAGATTATCTGTTTGTTTTTTTTTTACTGTTAGAATTCTAGCAAGATTCTCTTATAGTTTCCTACATACTAAAGGGACGCAGAGCTTTTTTCAATTCATACTTTTTAAAAAAAATTGGCTGCTGAGCTATAATTATTTACCTTGGGATATTTGATGATACCTTGTAGGGCACTACAGTAGCTACTGTCATGTCAGAGAAAGGTACTGCATGCCAATTTCAAATTCTCAGAACACTACTGCCTCCCTCTCCTAATGAAATAAGTCATCTCTTTGAAGGAATTAAAAAATTTAGAGGACACAGATTTTCATGTGGATCTTGAAAAGAAGAGGTGCTTAACAAGGAGAGGGTTAACTCCAGAGTTCTGTGAGGAAACAATAATACTTTGCATTCTTTCTCACTTCGTCGTTCTTTATATCCGAAGAAAGTCCCCATGATCCAAACATGGTGCAGTCTCTAGGGCACTCCCATCCATTGTGGGATATTTCTCTCTCTACAAGACCCTACTCCATTTGATGACTAGGTCTTCATCTAAAATAACTGGCTGTGGAGCATTTCCCATGGGGTGACTTGCATGTGTTCAGAGGGAATCTTGCCAGAGCATTGCCTTCTGGCAAAGCCTTGGCTTATACAAATCATGGACGTGTAGCCTGCCAAATGTCAGCATGCCTTAGCAGTGAGCTTGGGAAGACAGTTCCCTACAATTTCCAGTCTATCATTTCTACCAGTATAAAAACTTACTTCATTTAAAACAAATCATTTTCCCTCCCAATTGAGATAATTTATGCCTGATGGGATCATGGTAATAAGACCCATCCCATTGTCTTTCTGTTACCAAATAGCTGTGGTGAAAAAGAGACTCTGCAAATGTAATCAAATGATAATATTTTGATGTGAGTGAGTATACCTTGACCCTTTCTGAGATTCAGGTGTGAGGGAAGAGGTACAGAAGAATGCATGTGCTGACTGGGATTCTAATTCCTGAATTTGGCCATGTGCCCAACCTAGCTGGTTGTGAGCTACTTAAAGGGAGAAATGGCCTAAGTAGACAAGTATCTTGTTACCAAAGGAAATAATGATCCATTTACTACCTAGCTTAGGGTAAGAAAGTTTCTGTCTACTCCATTGCTTCTACAATAACTGAAGAGGAGATGTGGGACACTGAGCAGATCCCCCCTGCTCTCTATGCCTCAGTCTTTATACTTTAATAATATAGAATTGAATTTTAGTATCTCTAAAGGTTCTTCCTTATGTGCTACTATAAATTTATAACTTGTAGTAATATTTCATTTTGAAGATATAAAAGTTATTACCATGCATGAATAGGATGGAGTATTTTACACTATTTTCCCAGCCTTCTGTTTGCCAGTTAGAAAATCATGTATCAGAGCATTTATTTGACATTTCAGTGTCTTTCCTTCATTGATTGCTGATCATATTCCAAGAAAAATTCATTTAAAAATTGAAGCAGTGATTTTAGAAATGAAATGACAGATATTTGTAATCATTTATGAAAGAGATCAGTTGATTTCAGACTCAGTGTCTCATCACCTGTTTGGCACATGCTATGAGGCATTGTGAAGAAAAACTCATAGCCTGGCTAAAGAAATGTCTCATATCTTGTTTGTTTCCAATCTCTTCGCCAAAAGTAAGAAGAGCACTGGTGTTATACAGACAGAACACTGCACTTCTACAGTATTTTAAATTATGGTATTTTCATGCAGGTAGACATTGAGTCATCAAAATATATTAACGATGTATTGCCAGTATCTATTTCTCTATCTTCTATCTATTGTCTATTCATCTATACGTCCTTTAACTTTCTTTATTTGCATGATCAACATCAGAAATTTATTTGATGCAAATTTCACAATAAAGTCAATTGAACATTCAGTTTTGGAAAATCATATGTTAGGAGTTTTGTTTAGAGAATTTACAAATATCATAATTAGTCCTTCAAACAGCCAGATGATTTAGTTTCTATTGTGCCTATATGTTAAATAAGATGTCTACTAAAGCACACAAAGATAAGTGGGTGAACAAAAATTTGAAAATGACTTTGAGGGCTTGGAATTTAGCTCAGTGGTTCCACCACCTGCCTCGCAAGTGCAAGGTCCTGAGTTTGATCCCTGGTACAAAAAAAAAAAAAAAAAAAAAAAAAAAAGAGAGAGAGAGAGAAGAAAATGACTTTGCCTGATTCAGGTGAATGTTTTCTTCACGCAGTTTTAATCAACAGTGATTAGTGTAATTTTATTTTTTAAAATAGAGTTTTTTCTAATTATGAAAATAATATATTAACGTGGTAGGGCAAATTCTAAACATGCTTTTTCTTCCCAAGATTCCATCCACTAGTTGTGCAACCAAACATTAATCAAGGCACTGCTGTAATGATATTTTGCCCATGTAATTAAAGTCACCAGTAAAATGTCCTTAATATAAGGGCATAACCTGGGTGGCCCTGACTCATCAATATCTGTGAAAGTGGTGAGGTTCCCTGGCTCTGCACAGAAGTGGAAGACAGATTGAAAGCATAAGAAATACGAGGGAGATTAAGAGTGAGATATCCTGTTTCCCACCATGAAGCTGGGAGACAGACTCTGGAATGGCCCAAGAACTATGAGAAACTTCTCGGATCTGAAATTAGTCCTCTAGCCAGAATACAGGCCTTCAGTCCTACAACCATGACTGATGGATGTAAGCCCCAAGGAAGCAGAAGCTTTAAATGCCATTGCATGGTTGAGATTTAGCTCATGCTTCTTTCTCTTCCTCTTTGGCATGAGGAATGGAGTCTAACACAGGAACTGGTTTGCAGAATAAAAGAAGCATGAGAATGAATAAAATCAAGAAGTAAGGCGTTAGAAGAAGTTTGCTGTTACAGAAAGGGGAGAAAATAATACGAGGAGCTTAGCTCTTGGACTTGTTCCACTGATCTCTTATGACAAGCTAGATTGCTATGAAGTTCTAGCTGTGCAGAGAAATTCCTCATCTGCGGATACTAAAAAGGCATTTGGGAAACTGGCCTACCTGTGGCATCTAACTTAAAATTTGGAGAATAAAGAAGAAACAGGAAAAATTCAAGTAGTTGAGGCAGATAAGATGTTTTCAGATCATAAAAATTAGAAATCAATGCCAAATAAGGCAAAGGTGGATTAAATGGTAGAGGAGGAAATGGAAGTTGACAGTTTTTTTTTGAGTTTAGCTTCATATCCTGGAACACAAATGGTATCTTCAGTGCGAATTTTTGGTGGAAGAGACCAATTTTCATTTGACTTCTTTGAATACCCATTTGAGGTCTCTATCAGGACCCAAAGGGATCCTTGAAGAATCATAAACCATTGTACATGCTAATTTTTTTCTGCCTGAATGTGCTTTCACCCTTTGGAGGTAAATTTCTTCTTCTGATACAGGATTTTCCTTGTTCAGCTCAATAGGTCACGTGGGCTTCACTTCCTTTCCTTCCACATCATTTGGTGGTACCAGTACGTGGAATGGGTAATTTCAAATCTGTATCAACTTCTGCTAAAACAGTGAATATCAGCAAAATCACTCCAAAGAGACTCGAGAATTTTCAAGAAAACAGAAGTTGAAGAAGATGGCCAGTTGAGAGCTTTAATGACAAAATTGTACAGAGCAGCTGCTACATTTGAATAACAAGTAATTCACTGCACACATTAAAACAGAAATGGTAAACTACAACAAGCACTGTATGAAAATTGACAGGAACATTTTTAGAAAATTTCAAACAAACTTGACTTTCAGTATAATTGCACCTAAAGTATTTATAAACAGCTCATCAGAGCTCCTATTTGCTTTCGACATTTAAGTTCATTGTTGGAACTGCATAATATCATTTTTTTGAAACTGTTGTAAATCTCTGTATACACTTTGCTTTTTTACTGAGCGTAACCTGAGGCGAGCCATGACTCTGGAGTAGCCGTAGGACAACAACACGGATATGTTGTGTTTGAAATGGGAGTCAGTCAGTGTCAGGCTGCTGTAAAGTTAACAACGCCAGGCTGAATCCTGTACAAAAACCATCATTCATATTTTGTTCAGTGTTGAGTAATGAGAGATATCAATACATTAATGTCAATGCTCTTTTAGATTAATGTGAACTAAGGATATTTTCTAGTTGTGCATGAATACTTCAATGCCAGTTAATTTTTGCAGTTCACTACATGTACAATCACAGTCTTAGGTTTATAAAAACCAGTAAGCTGAGCCTTTGTAACTGTCACTTATTTTATTAAAAAATCAGAATGTGTTTTTTTCCTGAGTATGAGCTATAGTCTTCTTGTGGCTGTGTGTGCTTTTGTAACTTGCCTTCTAATGTCACACACTATTAGTATGCCTTTCCATGCATTTTGAATGTTTTCAATGTATATGGAGAGCTATTAAGAGTTTCTATTTATAACTAATGGTTTTGTAATTTATTGAATAATTTTGTCTTATTATCAATTATCCAGAGAAGAAATAAACAGTTAAATATGTAGTTTTTTACTTTTAAAAGTGTGTTGTTTTCTGAGATATGGTTGCTGTTAAGATCACTGAAGGACAATATGAGTGGTACGTCATGGGATGATTTAGGTATGAGCAAAACTAATGGCAATCCTTTTCTTTAAAAACACAGAAGACGGCTGGAAATGTAGCTCAGTGGCACATCGCCTGCCTGGCAAATGCAAAACCCTGAGTTTAGTTCCTGGTATCAAAAATAAATAAATAACACACACAAGAGAAAAAACTACATAGATTCACAGTAGCTGTGACTTCTCTGCAACTGTCAACACAGAACATAACTTTTAAAATATGTGCTTTAGTGTGAGCCACTGAGGATTAGGAGCTGTTACATTGCAAAGATGATTTTCAATCAGCGGATATACTATTTTTTTCATATAACATTTTGCTAGTGTGTTAATGATCTCTTGCCAAATACTAGTACATACCACCAAAATTTAGGCATTTAACACTAGGTGGATTTACTATCATCGACTTTCTGTGAATCAGATATTTGGTGATAGTTTAACTAGATGCTGCTTCAATGTCTCATAAGTTATAGTGAAGATATTGAAGAGTGGAATGGTCATAGCAGAGGCTCAACCAGGGAAGAATTTATTAGCAAGCACCAGTGGTTGTTGGCAGCATTTAATTCCTTGCAGTCTGTCAGACCAAGGGCCAAATTTTCTCACTGGCCATCTGCTGGACAAACCCTTTACTTCCTGACCACATTGCCCTCTCGGGAGGGAAATCTCACAGCATGGCAACGTGTATCATTGAATCCGAAAAGAGAGAGTATGTCTCCTAGAAAAATTGGTGCTGAAAATATCATTGAATATTAATTGGAAAAGTGGGTTCCCATCCCCTGTGCTGCATTTTATTGTTACACAGAAGCCACAGGTCCTGCCAATACGCAAGGAAAGAACAAAAGGTGCTCATATCAGGAGGATCATCACAGTCCATCATGAAGAAACAAAGCACTTCTCATGTTAAATATTCTCCAAAAACCCCATGATTTATGCATTTATTAAGATGTCCATGTAACATTTCTCCTTTATTTTGTGATATTATGAAATATGACACATGTTTCTGTAAGAATAAAAAATACACGATTTTTATCGCATGCACAATAACTCATAGGAATGGGCGATGATGTATAATATATTCATACTATTGCACAGCAGTTAGATGGTTTCCTACTTTTTCTTATTAGAACTCTCATACTTATAAATGTTTTGCACTTAATTTCATCTAAATGTGCTTACTTTTTATATTCCTAGATGACTATTTGCTGAATCAAAGCATATAACTGCTTTTTCATGGCCTTAATAAATATTGTCATAATTTTTCCAGAAAACTTATGAAAATTTAAAATTTGTATGATTACAGGTACATTGTTTCACCATATTTCAGCATGAATGCATGCAGTTAGATGCAAGCTTACTTATTAGGGAAGTTGAATGTTTATATGGAGCTGCTATTTCCTATATTAAATAGTTATGTCTCTTAAATGTTCATATTCTGTATATGATAATTTTTCTTGTTGATTTTTTGTTGTTGTTGTTGTTTTTTGGGTTTTTTGAAACAGGGTCTCACTGTATAGTTGAGACTGACCTGGAACTCACTATGTAGCCCAGGCTGGTCTTGAACTCACAGTGATCCTCCTGCCTCAGCCTCCTGAGAGCTGGGATTACAGGCGTGTGCCACCACTCCCAGCTTCTTGTTGATTTTTGTTTTTGTTTTTTTTTTTTGGCACCGGGGATTGAACTAATTCTTGTTGATTTTTAAGTATGCAATATATTAAAAGCATCAATCTGTCCTTAACTTTGACCCGAAGGTCTTAATTTTTAGTTTTCCAAAAACTTTTCAACATAGGTTAAAATGATATGTAATAAAATGAATGAACTTTTTCACTTGTAATTTATTTATGTAATTAAGAATTCCTTTTTTGTTATTGTATGAGTCAGCATTCCCATTACTGCACAAAATATATGACATCCTCAACCAGAAGGAGGACAGCCCAAAAGTATGCTTTACTAAAGTTTGCTTTACTTAGAGGCACCCAAGACAAGCTAGTTGACAAAATTAAGTTTAACTATATCATTCCAACTCTTGTCCACTTGACACCCACACAAATGCATTTGAACCATACTTAATCTACAAAGAAATCTAAGAAATTCATAATTACACCTAAAATAATACATCTATCTTGTGGCAGCCAAAATGAAATAATTTCTCCCTTAAAATCTCAACAGTACCACCTTATAATATTGCCAGTTTGATGTGTATTTTCTACTAATTGGTGACTTTAATTTTTTGTTTTCATTATTATAGCCTCTTGTGATTTATTGTTGTACATATTATATTACAATTTTGGTTGATATATCCTTTATTATAAGGTTAAACTTGATCCTCCTCTAAAAATAGCCAATACTCTGTCATGATTTAATAAGCACGTCCAAATTGTTTTTTATGGATTCTTATGTTAAATACTACATTCTTGGGCCAGGCATGGTGGTGCATGCCTGCAATCCCAGCACTTGGGAGGCTGAGGCAGGAGGACCACTGTGAGATAAAGACCAGTCTGGGCTCCAAAGTGAGTTAAAGGCCAATCTGAACTATATAGTGAGACCTTATCTCAAATCAAAAACAAAAACAACCCTACATTTTCATGTTAGCTATGGATTATTTCAGAATGTCTATTTTGTTAGTGTGTTATTAATTTTCAGGAATATATAGCACACCTTGCTTCATATACTTTTACAATATGCTTTACATGTGATGTGCTAAACTTAACTTCTAACTTAAGAGATGGATCATAAAGAGATGGATTATACATTTTGATTGGCACACCTAGGGTGTCAATGGATATATCACATCTGAAATCATCTAAGACAACTCATTCTATGTAAAACACTTTTATAATGGAACACACATCCTAAAGTATATTTTAAGTAAATATTTTTATTAATATATGACATTTTATTTAGTAAACTTTTCTACATAAAGTTAAGAAAAGGAGTTAAATAGAAAAGTGATTCATTATTTAATTCATGTGTCAGCATCTTATTTCCACACGGATAATCCAGGAAATAAACTGACCTAAACTTATACAGTAATGGCAAGACCAAGCATGCCAGAAAGCTGTTGTACAATATGCCTAACAAGGAAATGATTCCTTTAACATATATATGTATGCACATCTGTATTTAGATCCAATGGCATGAAGTGGATACATTTAAAAGGAATGCAATGACACATTTTGCAAAATCTAGAAAAGGGAAAGTTAGAAAAGACTTTAGTATATTTCTTAATCAGCCCATTCAGTTTTGTTTATACCCCTCTTAATTAATGAGCAATATTGGGCCAAGAGATAAATGTAGCATCTTTCTCTTATGTTAAAAGAGTGCAAAGGATATGCAAAGTATTTAATAACAGTAGTCGCCACAGTTCTCAAAGTAAGCAATTTTCCTTTTCTCCAGGAAGTTGTTATAGATAAGTGAGCATAATCAAAATGCGGGCCTTGATGCTTGACTATTCTGGCCACACCAACCGTTTCTCAGTTGTATATTCACAAATTGGAGTGATATATGCTTTCAAGGAGTTTCTTGTTATTTGAGGGACTTATTTTGTCGTATTTATATAAGCGTAGGTAAAGATCTTTGCATATTGATATTCTCAAACATTTCCCAACCTTTCATTTACTCAGATATGAAATCAAGACTTTTTTTTATACTTCCAATCTAAAGCATAGTCTGCATAATCAATATAGTTTACTCAGTGGACAGGTATACAAGGAGACCATCATGATTATTCAAAGGAACATCTGCAGATTCTTTCTGTACAAATACTACATGCCTGTGAGCCTAAAATCTTGAAATAATAAGAGAGTCATGTCTCTGCGAACGTAAGGTTGAGGAACTGACATGAGTTATGAGTTATGAGAAATCTACTACTTGCCAGCCAGAATGGAAAGTCCTCCTTCCAAAGAAACAAGGTATATTTTATTTTGAAGTATGCAATCTGGGTAGGAAAGAAAACTGATGGAACAGGGATGCCAGGATTATTAGTGAGTATATGCTATGTTGAAAACAGTACTAATCACTAGTGTACTCACTTAATCACCACACTATTATGAGGAAGGCACCATGATAGTTACAATGTGTCTCCAGTTTATATTCCACACCATAGCACTTTTGCGAGTAAAATGGTAGCTAGTAAAAAATAAGTTTAGATGATAGTTCAAACATGGGACTTCCTGGAAAAACTGGTTAGATATTTACTTGAGTAGAATTATCTATTACAATAAGGAAACAGATTCAGAGGGGTTAAGGTCTACTGCTAGCATGTGACAGATCCAGGACTGCGGAATTCAT